GAGAATACAGTTATAAAGGTTGTATGGTATCTTTTATAAAATGTTTTTATTGTCTGGGAAACACACTTAACATCGAATCTTAAAATTGAGCAATGAGACTATGAAACGGAGCTCAAGGTCGAATTGACACTTTTTGTCGAAAATGTCAATTAAATCTATCCTATATATATGTCTTATAGCTTCTGAGAAACCAACCTTAATGAAATCCGACATCTGCATATTACAGTCATCCAATACAACCAACATTGTCCACCTATTGTATTACGTATCCGATACGAACCTCCAAACTTTTTAAGAAAAAAAAAAAAACCATAAAAAATGAAGTAAATTTCAGACGAACCATTCGCGACTAGCATGTACGCCATACAACCATTTCACATTAAAAAATAAGCATTGACTAATGAAACATGAAAATGAGGTCAAGGTTAGATGAACCCCGTTCAATATTCGAGTAGAAATAACAAGCATTGCATACGCTAATTGTATGGCACCCATTGCTGAAAAAGTATCCGACAAAAAAACGAACCATGAAAACATAACATTGACTAATGAACCACGGGCCGTTGAATTCTACCGGTTGGACATGTACGCCCTACAATCACTCTATACACGAACGAAACCACGAAAATGAAATCAAGCACAATGGAAAATTATGTCATTCAAACATAAGGCATTAGTATATACAAAATTTGAATCATTCAGATCTTCCCTCAATATGATTTAAAAATAAACTGTTTACTGACGTACTGGTATAAAATTCAGAAAAAGAAGCTGATGAACAACAACATTGCGTATTAATTCATTTGCTGGAACATGATCTAGTGGGCAAGGCCTGAAAATGGTCGACGAAGTAACATTATACAAAATATCCTTGTTTATTGTAAGTAGTTCCTATCAATCTCACTTATGCAGAAAACTTAACATCGAAAATTGCGAATTAATTCAAAGTCACCGTTTTATGCCGACCTAGGGGCAGGGCCACAAAATAATCGTCAAACTGATATGTACTGATAGTAATGTAACTTTATAGAAAATCCCGAAACTTAACATTAAAAATTGCTTATCAATTAAAAGTGGCTAGACTATGACCCAGGAGGCAAGGCTTCAAAATAGTCGTCAATCTGATATGTACAGAAAGTAATGCAACTTTATATTAAATAACAATGATCTATCACAAGTAGATCATATCAAACTAATTTAATCAGAAAACTTAACAATTGTCGTCGCCGGAAAAGCAATCCCTAAGTCTAACTTTCAGCTACTTTCTTCGCCGGCGAGACAAAAATCATATCGAAAGATAGTGACGCCGTATTTGCATCCCCATGTTTCGCATTCTGTGGATTCTTCTCAGGCGATTTTTTTTTCAAATAGGAAGATATATTGATAATGCTCATCATAATGATCGTCTAAATATTTACGAATACTTATTTTTGACCGAAGCGTATGGTTGATTAAAGTATGCTTGGCTTTACCAGCGGTAAATTCAGAACATATTGATCAAACTAGTAAAAAACCAGATACTCCATGTACCACTCATTTATAGAGAGGAATTGTATTTATTTCAAATATGTCATTGAGTTTCGAAGTTCAGATGGAACCTACAAAAATATGCACATTTTAAAATGGACAAAAAACAGAATCATCGGACAAACAGCAAATCGGACAAAAAGCAACCATGGGACAAAAAGCAAAAGTGTCGGACAAAAAGCAACGGACAAAAAGCAAACATTTTGGAAAAAAAGCAAAACGGACCGAAAACACCGGACAAAAAGCAAAAGTGTCGGACTAAAAGCAAAATAATCGGACAAAAAGCAAAACGGACCGAAAGCAACGGACAAAAAGCAAAAGTTTCGGACAAAAAGCAAAATTATCGGACAAAAAGCAAAAGCGAACAAAAAGCAAATCCCGGACCGAAAGCACCGTATCATACGTTGAAGAACGAAACTAAATATTTTGTTCACTTTCAATGCGTAATTTGGCGGCAGCTGTCCTTTCACAAAAAAAAATCGGAAAACGGCGAAAATATGCCACGACGAATATGAGCCACCCACTATATGATTTTTTTTCTGTACATCATTCATTTTTGTAATCAGTATTCTAGCTAATTCTTTTATTTTCCAAATTTATTCTTCATACATTTGCATCCCATTATTCTTTATGTTTTGGCTTATTTTTCTCTATTCATTATTTTTTGGGGCCATTATTCTCTTACGGTGAACTATTATAGTTGCTTTAACCCACAACATTTAGATAGTTGTCACCTTGGCAATCATACCAAAGAGCCTTATCATATATTGTTTTTAACCTATAATGTTGTGAAAAGTTGACACACTTTGATTTGATTATCACAGAGGAAAACTCGCATCAAGTTATTAAGCATATCATGTAAAAAAAGAAGATAGCTCTTTTGAAATTCTTACAGAAAATAAAAAGAAGAAATGGGAATTTCAGATTTAGTTTCACTATAATATAACAAAAAAAAAACAAAAAAAAACTATACATTCCTTTAAAAAATCAAATTATATCAATTGTCCCCTTATAAAGCACATAAAAGTTTGTTTTTAAATTTTGAACAATTCAGTCGTTACCATAAGATATAAACAAGCACATAAGATTTCTCATGTAAATGAAAAGTCGCTGAAATTAATAGCATTAATTTTTGCACCAATTTCTTACTTTAATAAAAACAAAGACCGATCATTTGGTGTTACTTTGCACTCCAAAATGGCGAAATACTTTTATTCTATATTTAATACGGATTTTATGTTATTAAAATTTGCTGTTATAAAATTTTGGAAATTATTTCAAATTAAGGAATATATCTCCCTCATGCAAAGCTCTGATTCCTTGCCCGGCTATACCTTTTTGTCCTTTTTTGTTTATAGCTCTTCATCTTTTTAATAAGCTTTTAATTTTCAAATATTTTGGCCTCGAGCATCACCGAAGAGACATTGATTGTCGAAATGCGCATCTGGTGCAGAAAAATTGGTACCGTTTATATTATTGATTATCAGAAGACAAGTCCCCCCCTCCTCAAAATAAGACAAATGTCTAACAAATCTATGACAGACAGTACGTAGTCGCCCTTTTGAAAATGAACTCACTTAACAAACTGAAGGACTGACACATTTAAGAATTGAATGCTTCTTTTTATAATTTGGAGTGTAAAAGCGTTGACCGAAGCATATTTTGTATGAAGCGCTTCCACAAAAAAAGTTATCACGATCAACGCTTTTACAGCCTTATAAAATTATAAAAAGAAGCATTTAATTCTTATAATTACATTTTTATCCCACAACCATGAAATTCAGAGTTATATCAAGCATTTTGTTATTGTTTTTCTATGCATTGTTTTCACAGTTTCAGGATAGCACGTGCAGTCATAGCTGTTGTATTTTACGGAAATAAAATATGATATTGGAGTGCCTGGCTAACGTGGTCACCCAATCAAAATTACGGATTCAAATGAAACATCCATGTAATGTAATAATACGGAAATAAAATATGATATTGGAGTGCCTCGCAATTGTGGTTAGCCAATTAAAATTACGGATTCCAATAAAACATCCATGTAATGTAATAATACGGAAATAAAATATGATATTGGAATGCCTCGCAATTGTTGTTAGCCAATCAAAATAACGGATTTAAATGAAACATGCATGTAATGTAATTATTGATACGTACTTCATTTCAAAGCTAGGTCAGCCAAGCACAAGTTCAAAATTGTCTGTAAACCAGTTTGAAGTATAGTCGAAATACATGATTTATTTTCGCGAATAGTAACCTCAAATCGTGCAACAAACATATCGCCGTCTGACAAGGGCACTTTAGGCACGTGCCTACACATAATTTTTTCACAAATATTTTTTTTCATTAAAAAAAAAAAAAAAATAATAATAACGTTATCTGTAGATGCACGTGAAGTCGTCAAAACTCTTTAATTATCAAATGTCATTTGTACACAATTCTATCATCCTTAGTGAATGGATTATTGGATAGAATTGTATCATGTATGTACATTATATTCCACCTTATATAGAAACTAAGAACTCGAACTTTGGTTCAGATCATTTCACTTCTATCAATAAATGCTTGAAAGAACCTCAACATGTTCAAAACCCTGACATTTTATTATTAGATACATGAATTTTTTTTATTAGTTGTTGTTGGCTTTCAACTAGCTTTCACTTGCTCTTCATCCTACCTACAATAAAACCCTTGCCAAAAAGGGGCCTCCGTTTGACTGTGCCGGATATATAAATATACAGTTACGTCTAGTCAGAATGGGGACGTTAAATCCGATGCCTAGTGTAGAGAGAATGCCACGCTCTGCACGTTAAGAACACTTGCAACAACTCTTTGATTGGTCCGTAGGTGGTCTGCTGAAATCTGCTGGATGTTTAGCAATCAATCAATCAACACGTTTTCAGTAACTTCAAGTACTCTCAGATCTACGTGTAATGACTATGATTATTCAAATTCCTTAGCAGGTAGGAGTTTTACAGTACAGGATATCAGAATCTGCGCTGGTCAATGCATATTGTAAATATTTTTTTTTTCAGATTTCCGATTGTACTGCGTAAATTCATCAGTCAGATGTTTTTGTAAAATTATTAATTATCTATAATTCTTCGATTTTTTCTTCATGTATATTATCATGATAAAATGACCAGTAAAATTTATTTTTTTTTGTACACAAAATTTTGCAACTAAAAATGCTGAAAACAGTTTTCCGTCGGGGGGCTCTGAGTATGTAAATCATCACCCCTTGTTACTGTACATATATAAATAAAAGGATATAGATACTAACACCCTAACGTCAAGTTGGTTTTACATAACACAAACCGGAAACCAAACACGACCCTTTTTACATAATATTTTTAACTGGATTTTTCTGCTGTCAAATTATTTGAAAGTTTGCCATTGTATAATCATTGGATGACGTGACGATTTCAGTTCTATATAAACAAGCTGTTGTGTAATATACATTGTAATTGTATCATTTTTGGTGAATGTACATTTCAGAAGGTTCGATCGTTAAATGATGAAGTTCTTTTGCATCGTACTGTTCCTGCAAACATTGTCATTTATATGGGGTAATCGTATGCCTAGCTTCTATAATTATCCAAGGACAACCAAATTGAATATTTCATATTGTCAAAATATTGCTAACAGCGTAGTTACCAGCGATGATTGTGGAGCCTCAATTGATTGTAGAGGGACTGCACGCTTTGTGTCTTGTCTACAAAGTAACAGTGGTTCAAAACTGAATGGTTCGGCGTGTTCAGAAACCGCCAGCTCTGAAGAATGTTCAAGAAAATTACAAGGTAAGTTTAAAAAAAACATGAATGATTAAATTGATTTTTGAAAAGGAAAATTTAGTATAGGAAGAGATCTTGTATATGTGATAGATAATCACACTATAGATGTGAGGAAAGATGCATCATTGTTATCAATGTGGTCCTCAGCCGGGATATAATAGTTTGAGGCCTACCTTTTAAAAGTAATGCATATACATGTACATGATATTTTGAGCGTAAATTAGTGTCTTGCAGTGAACGAGTTTCTGGCATCAATCAAACCTCTCTGATAATAAAGGATATAATACCGTGTAAAGTTATTAGTATGCATGATTTTTTTGTTTGTTCATTAACGGAGATTCAATGTTTGATGAATAAGAGCTCCAGTCCGAGAATATCTGCATGCAGCTATTGAATACCCTTATATTGAAATAATTACACTTATGATACCGGAATACAATACGTCATATATGAAATATAATTTGGTCCTTGTTTTTAAACTATAGTATTTTTCACCTTCCAGAGAGACAACAAACATGTTCTAGGAGAAATTCGGGTTTACTTCCGGATTCTAAATTTTGTCATCTGTATTACGATTGTTCTGATCCTGCTAAAACGAAGATTTGTCAGTATCCTAAATTATTCTCAACAAATACGAACACATGCCAAGACTTCAAGAATGTCAAGTGTGGATCCAGGATAGAGTTTAAATCTTACTGTAAGTATAACTCACTTTAAAACTTTACACCATTTTATTTTTTGTTACGATTTTATTTCAAATGCTTTGTCAAACGTGCTGTAATATGAAAATAAGGAGAATGTGGTATGATTGCCACTGAGACAACTATCCACCAAAGTTCAAGTGAAGTGGATGTAAGTAATTATAGGCAACCGTACGGCCTTCAACAATGAGAAAAACCCATACCGTATAGTCGGCTACAATTAAAGGGCCAAACATGGAAAACACGGAACAATACAATTGAGAAAACTAACGGCCTAATTTATAACAAGACAATTTACGAACAAAAATAGGACAATCATAAACCAACGAAAACCAGTATATAGGTATGTTTAAGCTCAACCATATTTTCTTTTACTGTTCTTTCGTTTAATTCTTTCTCTAAGTATGTTTAAACTTTACTCTCTCTTCTTTATCTTTTATATGATTTCACTTCAATTACATTGTATCCATGACAATACCATCTTTGTATTATACTAGTTTCTAACATAATTATCGATACATTATTTAGGTAGGAAATACCTAATAGTCCATATCCTTTAAAGAATCAATTTAAGGCATCAAATGCCAAAACATCAATCATTATTAATAGGAAAGAAATAATATGGTCTATTGACTCTAACACAAAACCACCACTTTCATTTGTCACGAAATAGAAGTTCCATCATAATATAAGTTCCAAGCGGAAAAAATCGTTAATACTATTTCCACTGGAACAAATATTACAGTATTTGTTCCTTACGGAATAAATGTTATAGAATATTTGTTCCAACAGAAACAGATATTATGGCATAGTTTATAACAAAGTTTCCAGTGTAACTTCTGTTAGGCGGAACAAATATACGTTGACAAATGTCATTTAACTACTAAATTAGGGAATATCACAACATGTTATAACTTTAAGATAAGAAAGGAAGCAATTATACCCCTCCCCTCCCCTCTCCACCTAAAACAATTACTTGTAAGCGTGTGTTTATTGTTACAACCTTCAAATTTTGCATACATGGGTTATTCAAACAAATATATATTTTATCAATATATTGCAAGAGTATCAAATAGCATAGGCTGAACACTACATGTAAAGGTTGAAGCCTATACATGTCTTATAACAAATAACAATACATGTATGCACATAAGCCTATATACCCTATAAGAAGAAACAATGCGTGTTTTGAATATGTTGAAGCCTATATACCCTACAAGAAGTAAAAATACATGTAAAGGCTGACGTATCAATACTTTATAGGTTAAAGTCCTTATACTTTATAAGAAGCAACACTGCGTGACCTCTTAAATACTTTATTAGAAGTAACAATGAGTGACTTGAATAGGCTGAAACCAAAACACTTCATTAGAAGCAACCATTCCTATATAGGTTGAAGACTAAATACTTAATAAGCTGTAATAATGTGTGACTACTAAAGGCTGAATCATACATACTTTATAAGAAGTAACAGTGCGTGATTTGTATAGGCTGAAGTCTCAATACTTTATAAGAAGCAACCATTCCTATAAAGGTTGAATTCAAAAAACTTTATAAGGAGCAACCATTCCTATATAGGTTAAAGCCAAAATACTTTATAAGAAGCAACCATTCCTTTATAGGTTGAAGCCAAAATACTTTATAAGAAGCAACCATTCCTATATAAGTTGAAGCCAAAATACTTTATAAGGAGCAACCATTCCTATATATGCTGAAGATTGAATTCTATATTAGAAGTAACAATGCGTGACTTGAATAGGCTGAAACCAAAATACTTTAAAAGAAGCAACAATTCATATATAGGTTGAAGCCTAAATACTTTATAAGAAGTAACAGTGCGCGATTTGTATAGGCTGAAGCCATAATATTTTATAAGAAGTAACAATGCGTGACTTGTATAGACTGAAGCCAAGATTTTTTATAAGAAGCAAGTTTTCCTAAATAGACTGAAGCCAAAATACTTTATAAAAAGCAACCATTCCTTTATAGGTTGAAGCCAAAATACTTTATAAGAAGCAACCATTCCTATATAGGTTGAAGCAAAAATACTTTATAAGGAGCAACCATTCCTATATAGGCTGAAGCCTGGATACTATATTAGAAGTAACAATGCGTGACTTGAATAGGCTGAAACCAAAATGCTTTAAAAGAAGCAACCATTCATATATAGGTTTAAGCCTAAATACTTTATAAGAAGTAACAGTGCGAGATTTGTATATGATGAAGCCTTAATAGTTTATAAGAAGTAACAATGCGTGACTTGTATAGGCTGAAGCCACGATACTTTATAAGAAACAAGTTTTCCCAAATAGACTGAAGCCAAAGTACTTTATTAGAAGTAACAATGCGTGAATTGTAAAGGCTTAAGCCAAAATACTTTATGAGAAGAAATCATTCCTATTTAGGCTGAAGCCTGAATACTTTATGAGAAGCAATCATTCCTTTATAGGTTGAAGCCTAAATTCTTTATGAGAAGCAATCATTCCAATATAGGCTGAAGCCAAAATACTTTATGAGAAGCAATCATTCCTATAAACGTTGAAGCCTAAATACTAAATAAGTTGTAATAATATGTGACTGTAATAGGCTGAAGCAGACATACTTTATAAAAAGTAACAATGCGTCACTTGTATAGGCTGAAGCCAAAATATTTTAATAGAAGTAAAAATGCGAGACTTGTATAGGCTAAAGCCAAAATACTTTATAAGAAGCAGCCGCTAAAAAGAAGTAATGTGTTTTTTTAATATAATCATGAGTGTATGAACGAGATTAGACTTATCCTGTTCACAAAATAGTATAAGATCTTATGATTAACATAATTTCAAAATAAAGACCCATTGAGACATTTTAGGTGTATGTTAAGCAATTGATAAATGCATTTTTGTAATGAGTCATTACTCGTATAACTAATTACGTCAGGCGCGTTTCGTCTACACAAAACTCATCAGTGTAGCTTCCATCGAGGCAATCAAGCAAATTTTTGACCAATAATAAAAAAGAAAAGATAAAATATATAACGTTTATGCCATTGTATAAAGTGTAGAGTACAGATGGTCCAAATATTAAACCTCTCTAACCTTTACACACGCATACTTCATCATTAATTAAAAATAATTAGTCCAACTGTGCTCTATGATAATTGGCATGGTAGATATAAACATCTTGTTTTATGAACTGACAAAATAAACCTATCTTAATCTATTCTGTCAGATGGCCATAGTGACTGCAGCCAGACAAAATGCCAGCCCCTGTCTAACACGCCCTCCTTTTACAGTTGTAGCCGTAATTAGTGCTCTTATCCTAGACAAAACACTCTGGAGAAGCTGTATGATTTGGATTATTGTTAATATTTTTTTCTCCTGAACTTGCTGAATATCCACGACATTTTTGTCACTTAATGTTAAGCAAACAACAATCAATCAATCAATTAAACCTGTATAAATTTCGTCTTTTTGTATCTGCTGAAAACTAGTTTGCGGCTTATCCATATTGCAGTCTTTGAACCGCACCAAGGCTTTGTCTTCCAATAGAAATAAGGATCAATCTACGCCACTTGGCACTCGAATCCATGCATTTGGGCGGCGAAATCAATTACGTTTATGATGAAGATTACAAAAAACTAGAGGCTCTCAAAAGCCTATGTCGCTCACCTGTATTTACTGATACTTTGGAAATCATGTAAAATAAGGTTAAAATCATAATTAATAGTATTAGATATTAGATATTATAATGATATCTAAGATAACTGCAAAATTTCTGTAAAATTAATAACTCAGGGGCAGCAACCCAACAACGGGTTGTCGGATTCGTCTGAAAATTTCAGGGCAGATAAATCTAAATCTGATGAACATTTTTGCCACCTGTCTGATTTGCTCTAAAAGCTTTAGTTTCAGAGATATAAACCAAAAACTGCATTTTACCTCTATGTTCTATTTTTAACCATGTCGGCCATGATGGTTGGAAGGCGGGGTCATCGGACACATTTCATAGATACTAGATACCATAAAAATGATTATGGCCAAGTATGGTTAAATTTGTCTCAGTAGTTTCAGAGAAGAAGATGTTTGTAAAAGATTACAAAAATTTACGAAAAATTGTTAAAAATTGACTTTAAAGGGCAATAACTCCTAAAGGGGTCGACTGCCGATTTTGGTTAGACGACTTATTTGTAGATCTTACTTTGCTGAACATTATTGCTGTTTACAGTTTATCTTTTTCTATAATAATATTCAAGATAATAACCAAAAACTGCAAAATTTCCTTAAAATTACCAATTTAGAGGCAGCAATCCAACAACGGGTTGTCAGATTTGTCTGAAAATTTCAGGGCAGATAGATCTTGACCTGATAAACAATTTTATCATTATGTCAGATTTGCTCTAAATGCTTTGGTTTCAGAGATATTAGCCAAAATCTACATTTTACCCCTATGTTCTATTTTTAGCCATGGCGGCCATCTTGGTTAGTTGGCCGGGTCACCGGACACATATTTTAAACTAGATACCCTAATAATGATTGTGGCCAAGTTTGGTCAAATTTGGCCCAGTAGTTTCAGAGGAGAAGATTTTTGTAAAAGTTTAAGGACGACGGACGCAGGACGTGATGAGAAAAGCTCACTTGGCCCTGTGGGCCAGGTGAGCTTAAAATGCGCCACATCTGGCTGATGTCAACTTTGCTCTAAGATGGTATTTATGGATGTATGGCAATCAAATTTCTATGATTTAGTTAAGCCTTTTCTATTTCCGGTTGTTGTTTTAATTCATCACAAGGCAAATAAAACGAATGTCAAGTAGAATTATATAGGGAAAACGGTACTATTACATTTTCCCAGATTTAGGTTGGCCTTTTGTGTACCCAAGGAAGGCGAAGGAAGTCAACTTAGGAGCGCTGTGATTGGATGTAAGGGTACAATATATTTTTTTATTTATCTATGAATAACCGCAGTGTGTATATTTACAATATAAATTTTGAAACCTATTGAAATATTTTCTAGAGAATTAATGGAAAAGACTTCCAAAATTTAATAAATTTGGTGTAAAATGACGGTGGGCATTGATAACATAAACAAGCTCCGTTGGAAGTTGGTCATGATACTATTTGGCTTCAATTTTTAAAACAGAATGATAAAGTACTAACACCACACATAACTGTTTTATTAAGGTTTTTATTATAAAAAGTGGTAAATTTAGAAAATGTTAGTATTGTCGCCTATGGCAGAATAAATAGTATCGTTTTCCCCTATATAAGATATACAGAAATAATAAGTTTGGTTTGTTAACGTCAATAAAAAGCGAAATTATTTGAAGTTCTACACATATTTTAAAGTACCTCATTGAATGAGGTATGCTGTAGGTGAAAAATGAGAAATGTTTGGGCCCTCACAAATATGTCAAATAAAAGTTAAAATTTCCTTACAAACCTTATCAAATAAGTAAATAGAAAACGAAGTAGTTTTATGCATGACATATTTGGAGATATGCTTGATTAGTATGTCTTGTTATTGCAACTCAGACACTCACTGTAAACTTAAACCTCTCTATTTTTTAATATGCAAAGTACAACAAAGACTAGTATTGTCTGTGTATCCAATTATGTCACAATAATTTGAGTTCACGCTTTATATGGCTTTTTTGACAATTAACTATGTTTGGTACAAAGTAATGTGCGGATCTAAACATTTTAAAAGGGCTTTTAAGAGATTCAGCCAAAATATTTTCAAATTTTTATGATTTAACCCCGGACCATTCTCTATCTGAACCTGTCAGTGGTACCTTGAGCAGGCTGATTGAATTTGTATAAATTGTAAAATGTGATTAAATTGATATTTTTATTTAATCTACATATATTGTGAAAAGTCAAATGATCACTTATGATAATTTCATTTTTTGGTTATACTAGGTCAATACTATCCACACCCTTATGGAATTCGTGGCGCACCCTGTGAGTTCCATCATCCAAATTGCGAAGGATATCCAGACGGAGCCAATCCTCATGCAGTAAAAACTGGATCACATTGGTACATGCTTTGCAAGGGCGAACGATTTATAAAGGAAGGAATCTGTCCAAACGCCCGATATGGTTTCAACAAAAAGTCATGTCAGGTTGTTGAATGTAACCAGAATATAAATAAGTACTACCCTTCTGAATGGTGCAGGGGTTATATTTGGTGTTACTATGGGAGACAATTCCAATACAATTGTGCTATCGGTACGGTATTTGATAACAAACGCCAGAGTTGTCAGCATGTCTACGATGTCTGTAAACCTTGTGGAACTAGAACATGGTAAGCTTAGCATAACTAAATGTTATCAGCCTTATTTAGACTAAATCGTAGAATACTGGGGTAAATTATAAAAAAGGAGCAAATTTTACCGCAGTTCAAGATGATCATAACTATAATGCTATTCCCACCCATCAATTGAATTACAAATATTTGGAATATACAGGGAATGTTACGTTGCATTACAATAATGAAATTAATATAACATTCAAGTTAGTAAGTCGTGCTCTCCATTGAAAAAAAAAATGAAAACAACATATTAAAAATTTCATGCGTTCGAAGAACTTTTCTGGATTTATCTTCATCAGGAACGCTCAAAACCGAATATTTGAAAGCCAAAGATGTATAAAAACATAAACAGTAGAAGAGTGGATATGACCGAAATGGACCTAACAACAATAATAGTTAAATCCATCTAAGGTCAACTTCGCCTAAATAAGTTGAAACCTTGATAATTTATATTGACAAACGGACAATTTTTAATAAAGGTTTCTTATAAATCATGTCAGTACCGAAGTACTAACTATTGAGTTAATGATACCCTCGGGGACTAATAGTCCGCCATTAGCGCGATTGACCAAGTGCTGTAAAAAAATGAAAACAACAGTTCATAAATTTCATGCGCTCTAAGCGCTTTTTAGGATTTACCTTCATCAGGAACTTTCAAAGCCAAATATTGGACAGCCAATGTTTTATAAGAACCGAAATAGTTGAAGAGCTATATAACCCAGAAGGACTCAGAATAATAACCAAACCCATCTTTGGTCAACTCTGCCTGAGGAAGTTGAAACCTTTGTTTCTTAATAATTTCTAAATTTGTAAACTGCGATTTAAGAATGGTTTGTTATAAATCATATCAGTGCGGAACTACCAACTAATGAGCTGATGATACTCCTGGAGATTGATAGTGCACCAGCAGTAGTATCGACCCAATACTGTAAAAAATGAAACCAACACTGTATGAACTGCATGCGTCGTAAGCGCTTTACTGGCTTTACCATCACCAGATAATTATCCTTTTTATTTATTTATTTCATTTTTGCTGATTTCGTTTCTGAATAGAAGAAAATGTTAAATTTATCTGATTTACATATCACTTTTTTATATTCGATGAATGTTGTACTCAGTCGCTTGACCTTTTTCAACACGAATTATTCCGTTAGAATAATTGTTGGAGGGAAAAACAGAAGTAGCATACATCTAAAAAAAACTTCAAAGAAACCAGGCTTATAAATTTGTACGCCATAGGCCCGTTTCGTCTACATTAGACTAATCAGTGGCACTCGAATTAAAACTGTTGGAAGGCAAAATCAAAAAGCCTTCAAAGCTGAAAATTCCTGACTACTGGATGAAGCGAAATGTCAATAGCATATAACACATTTAATAAACGGCTTTTGGTTATTAAATACATTCTTTTAAAAATGGCTATTGATTATTGTTTATGTGTTTCTTTTATAAAGTCATGGGGATACATTTTTGGATATAACCGCACGCACAATAAGTTCAAAAGAACCGATACATAGAACAAAAACTGTGAGTGAATATAATGATGTTTTCACACTTTTGTCCTTTGATCTGCATTGATAGCTGTCTCAATGACTATTAAACCATGCTTTTATATAATGAGCGTCAAAAATCCATCATCTAAGCTCAGTCTCTTTTATAGCTTCTTTTTTATTTCAGTTGATTACCAGAAAGAAGCAGGACGATATATCTTGATCTAACTCTGCGGAGGAAAAAGTTTCTGTGTCTATAATTTTATCTTTATTACCAATTATTAAGAAATGCTGTCGTCTTTTAATATATTATATATGTATATATATATATATATATATATATATCTTTATTTCAAATAGACAAGACACCTTTACAATAGAAAATGCCTAATAAATAATATACGAAATACATATTTAGCAATGTACACATACACCTTTGTTGATAATTTATATAAATTTACAAACTTTGCTTTTTAATGTCATAATCCTCTTATATTCATTGATAATATCTGCGAAAATGATAATGTGACATATAAAGTTATCTGATTTTGTATTTAATTTTAGTGAAAAATTAAATTCGTTGCCAATATTACTTTTGTTACTTACAATACAAGCTCAATTATTATTTCTATCTATATTATTCCATCTACCCTGTTCAATGGACAGCCTGTGATTTATTGTTTTAAATCTAATCAATAGTAAGTATGTTCCCATTTTTCAAAATAATTTTCTTTAACATTTTTTTTATAAATCTTTATAGGTATGTAGTTTTTGATTAAATAGCTATATAGTACCAGACGTGTTCAAACTGATCTTAGTGTCTGAGCTTGATAAGTGAAACTAACCGTCCACAATTCATGAACTAAACTTGATTTTCAGCCACATTGGGTGCAACACATTCCGTTAGAATTGTCTTTATTCTGTATAACCAAGAAAAATTTACATCTTCGTTTATAGAACAATTCATGTTAAGTATACGAGGTTTATTTTCCACCAAATAAATCAATCTAGTTTTGTTCTCCAATTTCACAGGATATCTCACCAACTCCCCGCAAATGTTGATGTTTTCAGAATTAATAATAACTAACAACATTTTTGATGTACCCTTTCAAAACTTCCGATAATCTTCAATCAATTGCATAAACATATCTACAAGCACAACAATAAAATAAATGAAATTAAGAAAAGAAAGAACACCCCCAAATAATGAAAAAAAAACAAAACAAATAAAAACATAAAAATATAAAAATATGATAAGATAAAATAAATATATGACGAAATAGAAATAATTTTCCTTCTATTTTAACACAATTTGTAGTCTAGTATAAAATCTCATCATATTTATTATTAATAGATATAACTTAAAAGTAAGTTCTCTATATCATATGGTTGTTATAGTTATCTGAAGTTTAAAATGTGATACATCTAAGAAGGTTGTTATTGTTATTTGTAACATAAATATGTAATATAACTTTAATAAATACACACTCTATCTCTACTTAAATTTTTATCGATATGAATGCCCCACAAATATATAAATCGAAGAAAAAGTTAGTCAAACATTAACGTATTGTACTGATGTTAGTGCGCACTGAGTAAGTTAATTTTATCATGAGACACAATTATTGGTTTCGTGTCCTTTTATCTGTTTGGCTGTACCTAGGATGGCTTAGACACCGTATGTTGAGTGGGCATTCGATTCTTACAATATGAATAGTAGGCATGGAGTATTGTTAAATTGTTCTAAAAATGTGGAGAAATAAAACAAAACATCAGTTGTTCGATGTTTACGGAAGTGAAGTTAAGAACTGGTTTAATTTAGGACTCCTTATTACAAAATCTTGGTTCGTTTGGAGGTAGGTTCAAACTCATTTTTCTATGATTCAGTATGGACTTAAAATTAAATTTGTGAAATTATAAAGAAAATAAGGATTCATCTAAAAAAAAAAGACACTGAATGGTAACTTTCGTCTGTTTTAAAAAAAAACGAAGGTGAAAAAACTGTCAAAATAAGTGCAAAGTGGGTACCCTCACGTTAGTCAGTTTAAAACGGCCCTGGTATGACAAAAAAAATAAAAAAAAAATACTAAACTCCAAGTCAAATTCAAAAAGAGAAAGTCCATAAAAACTGACAAAATCAAACGGTAACAAAGTGATGTTAGGAATCGAAACGGTATTTGGAAAGCCATACAATTTACCTCAATTTAGGATAGACTCCTGAATTTTGAGGAGTCAAAATAGGATGAACGGATCATATACCCGAAGGCAAATATAATACAAGCCCAAACGAAAAAATATAAACAAGTCTAAATTGAAAACAACGTTCAAACCTATGATTGCGTTGGATAAAAACCGCAATTTTTATACGTGTGCATGCAAAACAAATTTCTTGTTAGAGGGGTCTAAATACAGCACAAACAACATTTTCAAAAAGACCAAAAAAGTGAAAAAGTATATTTTAACAAAACGCATTTGACTAACAGGTCGAATAACAAATGTTCTTAAACCCTGCTGACTGTCATTGGCGATTGCCAAATAAACGGATCACCGATGTAACAAATGGATCTTAAATATAAATTTAATACTAAACAGAAAACAATAAACTTGCGGAAAAGATGTTATACCGCAAACAAAAGGTGCAAAGGTTTTTGTACACCATATCCGGATTTCGACAATTAATGTCTCTTCAGTGATGTTAGGAATCGAAACGGTATTTGGAAAGCCATACAATTTACCTCAATTTAGGATAGACTCCTGAATTATATATATATATATATATGCAGGATATCTTTAGAATAACTTCCATGAAATTATTCAATGGTGTCAGAATAACACATTAACTCACGAATGCGAGTAGCGCGCGAGTTATTGGTCAGTACTGTTTTGGCACAAGTTGAATTCTCTACAATATTTGAATTCGTGGATTAGCAATTCTTCTTATTACATTGACATTTATTGTCAATACAGTAAAAATGCAAACAACTAGATCTTTTTCTACACGTTCTGCATTGTCTTGTTGTTATTTCGTTGGTATCATCTTGACCAAAACTGTTGTTGTTTACAGAATTTTATTTCACATGTGAGATAACGGTTATTATTCGACTGGGAAATCACGGCATTTCATTGCAATCAATGTAGAATGATTCATTTTGGTAATGTAATCAATGTAATCATCATCATTCGTTGCTTGTCTCCATTTAGACATAGGATGTCATAGTTACTAAGTTAGTAAGAAAATATACACATACGCGGGTCCAAAAAAGAAGACGTTCTAGTCTTATGTTTGTCGATGATGACGCTTATTTGATTAAAACCAAAGAAAGGCGATTTCGAACCACAGGAAACTCCTCCTGCCGGACCTGCAAAGAACCTCACTCTGATTGAAAAAAGAGGCAGAAGAGACCAAAGGCACAATCGAAATTCATAAGTCGAAGAGAAACCGATAACACCATAGCAAAAATCGAAAAAATCAAAACATTACATAGATAACTATAGACTGTGCAACATGAACTGCACCAAAATTCTGGGGTGAACCCTGGTACTTGGGAAGGGTAAACATATCCTACTAAACATAATACACCTATCGCAAAATTATCTTGAATGACATTTTCATTGAAACTATATTATATTTATTGTGAGATTTGTTTAAAAATCACTTGTACCTATTTTTTGTTATTTGATTATATCAGGTCAATATCATTCACATCCTGGCGCTGGAAATCCTGGCCCACCCTGTGAGTTAGAACATCCAAATTGTGAAGGGTATCCAGATGGTGCCAATCCTCACACAGAGAAAACTGGACCAGGCTCTCCTTGGTACATGCTTTGCAAAGGCGAAAGATTTGTAAAGGACGGAATCTGTCCAAACCCTAGATATGGTTTCAACAAAAAGACATGTCAGGTCGTTGAATGTAACCGGAAGATAAATAAGTATTACCCTACTCAATGGTGCAGGGGTTTTATCTGGTGTTATCATGGGAGACAATTTAGATACAACTGTCCTGTCGGTACGGTGTTTGAGTACAAATGGCAGAAGTGTCAACATGTTTACGATGTGTGTAAACCTTGTGGAACTAAATCATGGTAAGCTAGCATAACTTAATGTTAAATGAATATGTTTGGAACATACAAGGACTTTTACGTCCCATTTCAACAATAAAAAAAAAAAATTTTACACAAGATTTAATTCAGTAGTATTTTTCGTTTTTCTGTAGACACAATACTTCTTAGTTTATTCATCAGTATTAACATTGACAAATTAATTGTTTAGCTGATTTTGTTTCAGAGCAAAAGAAGTGTAAATCAATGTGATTTGCATATTTCACTTTTCTTTTCGATGAATGTACTACTATGTGACCTAATTCAAAGAGTGCTGCAACGGGAATTGATTCGTTAGAAATAATTTTCTGGGTAGTAACATACCATGAATTGTTTTATTATTGGATGTTTTGGTAATTATGTACATATATTGTAACTTGAATGGCAATATCTATCAATCTGTTGCTTTAACCCATTATAACTCTACAGTTTTCACTACGAACTGACAAACATGCCATTGTAGAATGCATTTGCCATTGTATTTTGTAGACAACTATACTGAAATAAAATTGGAATGTCTTTAAGGCATTGGACTTGCACCCGAGAATTGATTTCGCTTGACATATATGGAATTCAGTGTTTTAAACCTGTTCACTCTAGGTTTTTTAAAACAATTTCCCAATGTTACTTTATCAAGGAACCAATTTCCGATATATCAAAATGCACATTAACGTCAAAGGGTCGATAAAAAGAAGGAAGAATGTGAATCTTATATTTTATCACATCTTTGTCCTTTGACCTTCATGAATATTTGTCTCATTGGCAATCATACTACATCTCCTTATTTTTTATATATAAGTTCGCATAAGCAATGCTAAGTCTATTTCCTTCTTTCCTTTTTATTTCAGTTGATATAGCCAAGAAGAAGCAGGACGATATCTTGATCAAACTTTGCTGAGTAAAACAGTTTCTGTATATCTTACATTTCTACTACCACATTCAGCAAAACTGTCAACTTTAAATATATACATCTTTATTATAAATAAAACATAATTATACATAGGTTCAAAAAAGATATTTATGTACACTATTTACAATAAAACCAGGCCTATACAATGGATGACATACAATTTTAAATGTTGATAATCTTTATGAATTTACAAAGTTTGATTATTACTGATCGTTTTTATGTCATAATTTTCCTGCATTTAATAACATTAAAATTTGACATACAAAGTTTTTTGTTTTCTTCGAAGCATACAATGGAATTCATCGTCAATATCATGTTTTGGTTCATAGAATACTAAATATTTCTATATATATATATTATTCTATCTTCCCAGTTTAAGGGGAAGCCTGTGATCTGTGGTTCAAAATTTACACAAATCAATAGAACGTTTGTTTAAAAAATTTCAAAGTTATCTTCTTTTTAAATAAAATATCATAAAAAAATTTATAGTTCTTTATATATATAATTTGATGTGGCTGCATGGTAATTAACATTATCATCCTTTACGAAAGACAAAATAGCTGATCTGAAAGGTACACCAACTTCTTGCCACTATACATTATGTACTGTACTGTGTTTCAACTCGCCGACGAGGCAAGGCATTACATCGACCACAGAAAGCTATATTTTTATGTAGCCTAGGTGGGTGATCGAGTGGTCTAGGGCGCTGGACACGGTGCAGGCCGTGTTGTCACAGAAGTAAGGGTACGAATCCCGCAAATTTGAAGATCTAACATTGTTGTGCCAAAAAGTAAAATCACAAAAATACCGAACTCCGAGGAAAATTCAAAACGGAAAGTCCCTAATCAAAAAGCAAAATCAAAAGCTCAAACACATCAAACGAATGGATAACAACTGTCATATTTCTGACTTGGTACAGGAATTTTCTTATGTAGAAAATGGTGGATTAAACCTAAATTTGAGACGAATTATATAATATAGTTATGCTTCAAATGACGTAGAAAAGAACCAGACTTGTATAAACTGATCTTAATAAGTCTGCGCGTGATAAATGAAATTATAACCATCTGCCACACATTAGGTATACAGGCTTCATTTAGAAGGTCATATTTTCATAGCACAATTTATATAAAGTATCGGCTTTGTATCTTAACCAGAAGTTAATTCCCATATAATGATATAAATCTAGTTTTTATGTCCAATACCAAAGGATATTTTCCAAGATTTCCGTAAATCATGTATTGTAAGAAGTTGTTGATGTTTTCAGACAACATAATGATAACTTATATAATTTCAGATGCACCCTTTCAAAACTTAAAATCCAGAAGTGCGCTTCGGACGCATGTTATTTATAAAGTGTTATTTTAAGGTAGCACAATACAAAGATTTTATACCTCCAACTCCCCAGTTTTAAAATGCTGTAACTTTCTTTATAATGCTTGAAAATTTATAAAAGTGGTATTTATGGATAGCTAACAGATTACTCTTTC